GCGCGACACCAGAGCGACGAAACGACAGAGGTCATACGCGAGGTGGCATGGCGGCCTTCCGCCGCGGCTTGCGCGGGCCGCGCGCTTCGCCGGCACGCGCACACGCATGTCAGGTGCATGCCTGAGCGACGGAGCGAAAGGGGTCTTGCGCGAGGTGCCATGGCGACCTTGCGCCGCGGCTGACGCAGGCCGCCCGCGCGGCACGCTACAGTGGAGACGAGGGCGCCTGCGCGCCGTCTTGCGCGGGCAACGTGCGCGACAGATGCAGGCGCAGTCGAACCCGTTTCTCTGCGTCGCTCCTTGGGCCCCCCGATGATTCTTGATCCCATCCCGCGGGCGGGTGGCTCCCCCGGGGGTAGTTTGCGCGACGGTCCAGTCACGACTGCACGCAAGAGTGACCCTAGGCGAGAGTGACCTTTGGTGCGTGGCTTTTTTGGGGGGGGCCGCGGGGGGGCCAAACACAAGCGCGCAAGACGCTGCTGACGCATCGCGCTCGGCGATTGGGGGAACCCGATGGGCCGCACCAAAGGTCACTCAGGCGAAGGGTCACTCTTACGTGTGGTGGAGTGGCGCCCAGAAGTCCCTGTGGCTGGGCCCCCTGGCTGTCAACGTCGACCGCCCAGCCCAAGAGATCCCAGAGTCGAATCGACAAGTCGGATCGGCGATCGAGATGGATCGGATCCGCCGAGTCGGGAGAAGTCGAATCGGCAGAAATCGGCAGGCGAGTATGCGCCTGTTGAGAAACCGGAGTCCACATCGGAATCCGACATCGAATCGACTCGGCATCGGAAGCCATCGACATCGAAACGACTCGAATCGGAGGAGCCGAAATGAGCCCTGCTGGCCCCTCGGCCACTCCTGGATGCGTTCTGACCAGACGTCGCCGCGCCGGGTACAGTCGGGGCGTTGACCTAAGGAACCCTAAATAAGGAACGAGGCCCCTTTTTTCCACAAGTTAAACTTCGATTTCCCATCGAGAAGATAAGGGAACCCTGAGGCAAGCTGTGAAACCATTAAGGAACACGGAGCCCCTCCACAACGAAAAGGGTTCCTTCTTCAGCGCACCGACTGTATTCTCGACGCGCCCAAGCGGACGACTCCAACACACCACCAGACCCTCCGCACACTCACGGCAAGCCCCCGGCGCCCGAGGCGGCGTTTGCCCCGCTGGCCGAGGCGCCCTCCCCGAGACGGAAGGCCGCGCGCCGGAGCAGGCGGCGCGGTGGCAGATGCCTTTTCGTGTGGCCAACGACCGCGCTCGCAACGCGGCGGGCAACTGCGCGACCGCGCCCCTCGGGAAGAAACCGACATTGGAAAACCACGTGCAGTGCTTAATCCCACCGGCCCCCTCCTCTGGGCGGAGGTGGCATCCCTCTTCTTCTCTGCCCTATTCCAAGACCCCTGTGTCCCCCTGTTCGTAGAGGGACCCATCTCCGCTCCGTACTATTAACAAACCCCCTCTCCCCGGCGCAGAGGCCCCCCAAGACAGCAGTGGGCTCACGAAGTGTACGCGATGAGGCTTCTTTCGGGAGCGGCCAAGAGGGGGGTGTCCAAGAGGGGGGGGTGCAAATCATGACCGGCGGCATGTGCGCGGCCCAGCGGGGGGGCCAGGGACGTAATGAAATATGAAGAGGCGCCATGAAATCTGGGGAAAGATCATGGCCCACGCCGGGATATCACCCTCCCCCTAGTCATCGCCCCCCTCTTTGCCGCCCCCGATTCTTCACGCATGAAAGTACGCCGTCGCGTCACACCATCGTCTTCGCAGCGCGTTTGGCGGGCTGCTTCTGGGACGCGTTTGGCGCACCGCCATGACTTTTTAGCCATTTCTCTGCCAACGCGCCTTCGTGATGCACGGCTTGCTTGCTTGGTCCCACTCCCGGCCAGAGACAAACCAGGGACCATGCCGACACCCCCCCCACCATCCCTGCTGGCAAAACCGTGTAATGCACACTTTGCGGCGCCATCTTGGACCATGCGCGGGCACCCCACGATCACTCTGCATTGGTATTGTGTACGGGATGGGGGGGATCATATACTCGCCATCGCTCGGACGTCCATTCCCTCTTTTGTTTGGTTTCGTGCGTGGTTTTTTCGCAGGATGATCCAAGATGCTCCTCAATGATCCCCGCCGAGAAAAAGTGCACACGTCCGAGCGATACCAAGTATAGTCTGGCGCGTGCGGGCACATCACCCCAATCAAGCAAACACATGCGAAGTGATCGCGGCTACTCATACCATGGTGACCATCCCGTCACCATTTCTGTCGGCGTTTGAGAAGAATGATGCGCTTGGCGCGCGTGGCGCACCTCGCCAAGGGTGGCTGAATATGCTGAGAGTTGGGTGCTGCCTCTGTGCTGGGTGGGCGGGTGGGAGTGAGCGAGACGTCTTGCGGCTTTCGGGTAGCTGGATCCCTCTCCCTACTCCCTCCCCTGGGTCTAGACTGGGGGGGCGAGGTGGTAGACGGCCCTTTTGCGTTCAAGATCGCCTCCAGGTGGCCTCCGATTCGCCAACACAGCCTCCACGATGGCTCGTTCCAGTCCAAGATGGTTCATGGCATCCTCCGACATACCTCCTAGGTGCCCCACGATGAAGCCAACCAAGTGCTCTCGGAGCCCTCGAAGGAACCTTCAAGAGGTCAAACTTGTGACAAACCTACTAGGCGTCAGGGATGTCTGCCCTCTCGACGTTTCGCGTCCGACGGGCAGCCGGAGCCCCCATCAGGGGCCACAGTCTGCTCTAAGACGCCACCCAAGAGCGCTGCAAGAGGGCTCCGCGAGGCACAGGCTTGGGCCTCTGAGGGGGTGGGGAGGCGGGGCTGGGATACTCAAAGATCCCCCCCCCATGGCGAGCTGTGGGGCCCAAGCTCGCCCCGGTAGGGCCCAAACACCCTCCCTCCCGGAGCCTCAAGGGGGGGCCCCAGGACCCCCCGAACGAGCCCCGAGAGGGCCCGGAGAAGCCCCAAGGAGACCCCAAGAGGGCCCCAAAGCGGCTCCAAGTGTCTTCCAAGAAGTGATCACAACAAAGAACTGCAACTTCCTCCTCCTCCTCCTCCTCCTCCTCCTCCTCATTAGCCTTTTCCTCCTTCTCCTTGTCATTGTCCTCTTGCTCATCTTCCTCCGCTTCTTACCTGTTTTCCTCCTGTTCCTGCTCCTGCTCCTGCTCCTGCTCCTCCTCCTTTCCTCCTCCTCCTCCTCCTCCTCCTCCTCCTCCTCCTCCTCCTCCTCCTCCTCCCCCCTTCTCAGGGTGGCTGCATGCGGCGTCCGCCTGGGCAACACGCTTGGGTATCGCTTGTGGATGGCATGATGGCTGCGCATGTGAGGCATCCACGAGGGTCCTGAAACCACTGGCATGGACATTAATCCTGGATGACATGGATGCTCCTCTTCCATTGTTGGTAGGGTTCGGTCTTCCACATGTCCTTATTGGCGACTGTTCTACTGCATTCGTTGCAAATCGCTGCTTCGGGCAACACGCCTGGGCATCATGTATGGATGGGCTTATAGGGATACGCGAAGCGTTAATTATTGGGCAAGAGGCGGCAGCACACGGAGAAATATTATTAAACATGGGGCTCGGGTAAAACACATTAAGCACGGAATGCTGTTGAAATTGAAACTGATCCAACCCTCGTGAAGCAAACGTTGACCGTCACGCTGCCTCCGCTGAGGTGGTAACGCACGCTTCGCCAGCATGCGCGCACGCATATCAAATGCAGACCTGAGTGACGAAGAGAAATGGGTCTTACGCGAGATGGCATCGCGACCCTGACGCCGCGGCTTACGCGGTCCGCTAGCGCGGCACGCTACATTGAAGACGAGGGCGCATACGCGCCATCTTACGCGGGCAACTTGCGCGCCAATGTCGGCGCAATCGAACCCGTTTCTCTGCGTCGCTCAAATGCCCTACCGTCACATTTCCCTCTCCTCCAGTTGTCGCCCGCTCCTCCCCGACCTGCTCCCCCGACGTCGGCATCGGGGAAAGGAATCCTGATGGAAGCGGGCCCCGCTTCGTTTTTGCCTTTTCTGGGGCTCGGGACGGGCCCCAAGTGAGAGGCCAAACACTGCAAGAAACTTCGGGACCCCGTTCCTTCAAATATTGGCGGCGCGCAGAGGGGGGTATGGGGGAGGGGGGAAAGCTTCTTAGAAGTAGGCTGACTCTTAGAAGGCGCCGGCCCTACATCTGCAGACAAGGCCCGCGCCTTCTAAGAAGCAGGGGTGCTTCGAAGAAGCCTTCCCCCCTCCCCCTGTGTGTAGCCGACGAGCACTGCAAGAAACTTCGGGACCCCGTTCCTCCAAAGACCATTTGCTTCATCACGACGATGAAGAGGAGGAGGAGGAGGAGCAGGAGGAGGAGGAGGACGAGGAGGAGGAGGAGCAGGAGGAGGAGGAGGAGGACGATGACGACGAGGAGGAGGACGAGGAGCAAGGGATGTGGAGGAGGAGGAAAAGGATGGAGGAGGAGGAGGAGGAGCAGGAGGAGGAGGAGGACGAGGAGGAGGAGGATGACGACGACGACGAGGAGGAGGACGAGGAGCGAGGGATGTGGAGGAGGAGGAGAAGGATGGAGGAGGAGGAAGAGGAGGAGGAGGAAGAGGAGGAGGAGGACGAGGAGGAATAGGAGGAGGAGGAGGAGGAGGAGGAGCTGCCTCGTTGGGAGACAACGGAGGAGGAATAGGAGGAGGACGACGAGGAGGAGGACGAGGAGGAGGAGGAGGACGACGACGAGGAGGATGAGCACGAGGAGCGAGGGATGTGAAAGGAGGAGGAGGAGGAGGAGGAGGAGGAGGAGGAGGAGGAGGAGGAGGAGGAGGAGGAGGAGGATGGAGGAGGAGAAGGAGGATGCAGGAGGATGGAGGAGGATGGAGGAGGAGGAGGAGGAGGAGGAGGACGAGGAGGAGGAGGAGAACCTCCCCATCCTCCCTATGGCAGCGGTGGTAGAAAATTGGCCCATCACCTTTCCTTCCTGGCGACGGCCTGGGCCCTCGGCCCCGCTCACGCCGGGAGGCCGCCACGGCGCGGGCCGGCCACGTTGCTGGGGGGCAGCGGCCTGCCGAGGCCGAGCACGCCGGTGGACCTCAGAGGGGCCCAGGGACACACACACACAAATATTGGCGGCGCGCAAAAGGGGGTAGTACGGGGAGGGGGGAAGGCTTCTTAGAAGCACCCTGCTTCTTAGAAGGCCTCGGCCTTACGTCTATAGAGAAGGCCCGCGCCTTCTAAGACGCAGGGGTGCTTCTAAGAAGGCTTCCCCCCTCCCCCTACCCCCTTCTGCGCATTGCCGAAAATACCTGTGAGGTCCAAAATCCGGATATCGGGTCGGGCGAGAGGGGGGGATCTATCCCAAAGGGGGGGTTTGAGAATCAGCTCACGCAGCTGATTTTCCCGGCGCCTCCCGGCGCCGGAGGCGCCCATGTGTCGAGGAATGGGCCCGGCGGCGGGGCCGAAACCAGCTGCACGCAGCAGATTTCGTACCCCCCCCTTTTCCTAATCCCCCCCCTTTCGTCCGGCCCGACGAAACCCGGATAGCAGGGCGCCCGAAGGGCGTGGAAAGGCCTGTCGAAGTAGTCTGGAAGGGCCTGGAGAGAACTTCTGAGAGACCTTCGTGAGAGCTTCCGGGCACGCGTTAGAAAGGGTCTCTTTTGGGACATGTTTCCGGCTCGGACAAGGTGCGCCGAGGCTTTTTCATGGAAGCCGGAACAACCTCCAAGGCTTCCCTGCGGCTCTGGCTTATCAATATGAAACCCTCTTAGCTCTCAGAGAGCAGCTATCCAGGAAAATACACACCAATCCCCTGTTTCCTAATAATTTTACTATAATTTCTGGGTTTTCGTCAATTCCCCCCCGCTGTCCATTATTTTCCCGCATTTTCCTGGGAATCGACGGTTCATTGTGTCTAGGTGTTTTTCCCCCTCCTGAGACCTGAGATCCTCGAAGCACTGCTTCAACCGCTGGACCGTGGCCTCCTCGGCAGCACGCATGCACGCGCGCGGGTCGTAGTACTTCTTGTTCGGCTTATCGGCGCCGTCTGGGCTGCCGATCTGCGACTGGAGGTAGGGCCGGTACTTGGCCTCGAACTCGCGCACGCCATTCCAATAGGCCCACTGCGTGTCCGTGTCGATGTTCATCTTTATCACACCGTACTCGATGGCCTGGCGGATGTCCGTCAGATCCGAGCCAGAGCCACCATGGAACACAAACTTGACAGGCTTGTCGCCGACCTTGCCATCCATCTTCTTCGAGATGTACTCCTGTGCGTTCCCAAGGATCTCTGGGTCGAGCTTCACGTTGCCGGGGGAATAGACGCCGTGCACGTTGCCGAAAGCGGCGGCGACCGTGAAGGAACCGTTGGGCACCTGGGACAAAGACTCGTAGACCTGCCAAATCTCCTCTGGCTTGGAGTAGAGGTCCTCCGGGTTCGCATCCTCGTTGTCAACACCATCCTCCTCGCCACCAGTAATGCCCAGCTCCATCTCGAGGCCGCAGTCGATCTTCGCCATTCGCTCGAGGTACCTCTTCGAGATCTCGATGTTCTCCTCCAGGGGCTCCTCAGACAAATCCAGCATGTGGCTCGAAAACAGCGGCTCGCCATGAGACTTGAAGTACCGCTCGTCGGCCTCCAGCATCCCGTCCATCCACGGCAGCAGGGCCTTGGAACAGTGGTCCGTGTGGAGGATGACGGGCACGCCGTAGAGCTCGGCCATGGCGCGAACGTGGTACGCGCCGGCGACCGCGCCAGCAACGCAGGCATGGAAGTCGGCGTTGTCCAGGGCCTTGCCGGCGTAGAACTGGGACCCGCCGGAGGAGAACTGGATCATGATCGGCGCGTCGGCCTCGCGCGCGGCCTCGAGGCACGCGTTGATGCTGGACGAGGAGACGCAATTCACCGCCGGTATGGCGAACTTGGCCTCCTTGGCCCAGCTGAGCAGGCTCTCCATGGCCTTGCCGGTCACCACGCCGGGGTGCACATCCTCTCGGACGACCGAGGTGGGTGCTGAACAAACGGGCACGATGCCCAACAGCAAATGCTGTCCAAAACCGACCGCGGTCGCTGTTGGGCAGGCGGCCTTCTGTCTCAAATAGACAACGTCCGCGACGACGCCGACAGCGAACCCGGCTTATATACATATATATATATATATATACAAGAGTGCATTGGCGCTTCGCGCTATGCACCTTGGTCCTTAAGGTTCGGCATGCAGGCGGGATGGCAGGAAGGTCAAGTCGGCAATTTAGCGATAACTCCTTGTTGCCTTTTCTGGTATCGCAGTTATCATAATGTTATTCGTTATCCTTCCTCCATGCTTCTGTTTCCTCGTTCTCGCCACACCCTGCGCATTCTCCCCATCCTCCTCAGTTCTTCTTTTGCGGAGGCTCCTCCTTGGAGAGTCTCTGGGGGCCTCACAAAATTTGTCAGGCTTTCTCAAGGCCTTTTGTTGGAGGCCTCCTGGGCGTGTTCTGGGGTCCTCTGGGGGCTTCCTCGGGCCACCCATGCCTCCAACCGCGGTCTCCCTGAATGACTGGGTCACGATTTGGAATGCTTCAGAGCGTGTCTTCGGGCCATCTCGGGCCGCCATGGGGCACTCTTAGGGCCATCTTGGACCCCTGGTGTGCCGTTTTGGGGCTGGCTTGGACTGCCTGGAAGCCCGTTCGGATAGTTGTGGGGCGATTTTGGAGCCTCTCAGGCGGCTTCGGACGCCCTGAAGACCGCCGTCTTGGAGCGTCGGGAAGCCGAAAAGAGGATAACCAACAATTCACCAAAAACCCATAGAAAATAACAGATGTTTGCCTCTTGGGTCCTTCTTGGGAATGCTCTTGGAGGCCTCTTGGGACGTTTCGGAGCGATCTTTGGGGGTATGACGGCTTCGTGGGCGTCGTCGTGGACCGTAATGGGGCTCTCTGGGGTCGTTTCGGGAGCGCGCCGGAACGCCTGAAACCCGTCTGGGGCCGTCTTCGGGTGCTAGGATGGCTTGGCGAAACGCCCTGCGCGGCCCGGGGGGCCGCTTCGAGGCCCGTCCGGAGGGTCCCAAAGCCCCAGATCCCGGGAGTCCGGTTTTTTTTAGGGGGGGGCGGGGTTTCTCCCCGCCCGGGCTTCTAAAAATATAGGAAGAGGAGTATGTGTGTATATATATATATATATGTATAGATAGCCGCCACTCTCGATGGTCCCCGCGGGTCCTCCGGCAGCTTCGGGAAGGCGCCGGCCGGGGCGCTGCTCTGCGCGGGGGTCCTCTGGGCCACGCCCACGGCGCCAAGGGCGGGCCGCGCGCGGCGGTGGCCCTTCTGCGCATCATGGAACCGATCCCCATCCCCACCGGCGTGGGCTGGGCCCCACTGGCCGATTTAACCCCCTGGATGGGGAGGTCAGAAGAAGAGAAAAGGCCATAAACATAAGCTTTCGGCGCTCCGCGCGGATTTCTTGGATCTGCGCTGGACCCCCTCCCTGGCGCGCGGAGCGCGCCAAGGGCGGCGCCGGAGGCGCCGCCGGGGGGCCCCAGAGCGGATCCAAGAACTCCAACGCGGAACGCCAAAAGTTTATGTTTGTGTTGTTTTCTTCGTTGATGGATGGGGATGTAGGCTGCTCTCTTCGGGTTTCGAGGGGCATAGTCCCTCTACTGAGGTGGTGAGATGGGGAGGCTCGAGATGTGGATGGGGATGGGGATAGGGTTAGGTCGGGCATGTCCACCTACAGGCGGATTTTGGACGAAGAATGAAACACAGTCAAAACATACACCCAACTTGTCAAGCACAGTAACAAATCGGTCCCCAGACTACTTTTTTGACTACTTAGGAATACTCCTCCTGTAGAGGGACGTGCCAGACTTAAGCACAAAGATCGGTGAAACGATACTTGAACAGGGGCCGACCGTCCCGGCATTCCTATAGTCCTACCACAACATGTTCTTAGAACCCACTGGTTTTCTAAGAACATGCGCAATGTTCTCAGAACATAAACCCGATGTGTTAACACAAGACAATCTCAACCAGCCATGTTCTGAGAACAATTCGTGGAAACCACAAAAGTCGGCTACACGCAAGAGTGACCCTGTGTAAGAGTGACCTTTGGTGCGCGACTTTTTGGGGGCCACGGGGGGACCAAACCTGAGCGCACAAGCAGCTGCTACTGCTTCGTTTTCAGCCATCTGGGGAACCATCTGTGCCCGCACCAAAGGTCACTCCGGCGAAAAGTCACTCTTACGACTAGTCGAAAGAGGTTCTTAGAACATTGCTTGGTAAGGCTACAGGCGAGCCGGGACGCTTCGCCACTGCTAGAGATACCGACCTTCGCACGCCGCCGCGCCGCCGCCAGGCACGCCGCGGCGCCGAGCGCCAGCCCGGCCGGCAGCGCCGCCGCGCGCCCGCTGGCCGCCGAGGCGCGCCCGGGGGCGGCGCGCGCGGCGGGCGCGGCGGGCGCGGCGGGCTGCGGCCACGGCGCCGGGCCGGCCGGCGCGGCAGCCCCGGGGGCGCCGAGGGCGAAGGCGGTGGCCGCCATCGTGGGCGGGCGGGTGGTGGTGGTGCGACGGAGCCGGGCCCCCTCGAGCGCCATGGAAAAGCAGGAAGGGCCCTGGGGCACACACACACACACACACGCACACGCACACGCGCACACGCGCACACGCACACGCACACGCACACGCACACGACACAGGACAGACACACAGACAGACAGACAGACAGACAGACAGACAGACAGACAGACAGACAGACACAGACAGACAGACAGACAGACAGACAGACAGACAGACAGACCGACAGACAGACAGACAGACAGACAGACAGACAGACAGACAGACAGACAGACAGACAGACAGACAGACAGACAGACAGACAGACAGACAGACAGACAGACAGACAGACAGACAGACAGACAGACAGACAGACAGACAGACAGACAGACAGACAGACAGACAGACAGACAGACAGACAGACAGACAGACAGACAGACAGACACACACACACGCGCGCGCACACGCACGCGCACGCGCACACGCACACGTACACGCACACGCACACGCACACGCACACGCACACGCATAAAGACAGACACACACACACACAAGTACACACACCAATGACAGGATTCCCCATAGCTTCCTATATTTTCTGGGTGTTTGTCTTCCTCCCCACTTCCCATATTTTCTATTTTCCGATGCTTCCTGGGGAATCGACGATCAATTGTGTCTGGTGGTGGTACGACGGAGCCAGACTTAGGTCGGGCCTGTCCACCTTGGACGAAAAATGGAAATACCCTAAAAATGCCCCCGAATGGTCAAACAAGACTAAGGAAATCGTCCCCAGACTATTTCTTGGCTATTTTTGAAGATTCCCCCTGTAGAAGGACGTGCCCGATTTAAACCCAGACCTCCTCGAACGTCGTGAGAAAATCGCGGCGGGAGGCTTTTCGTTCGTTTTTCGGTCTCTGGAGGCCCGCACCGGCCCTCGGGGCTGGCAACAAAGCGACTCTGGATGAAAAGCCGGTCCAGGGGAAGGGGTCGAGACCTCTGAGGGTCGGCATGAAAAAAACATCACGTCGGGGGTCTGGGGACATCGGTACGGAGATTATGGGTACCACGGTCGGACCTACTAGGACAGAAGCGCATCCTTCAGGAACACGGGACCCTCCGCCGGCCCAAGCTGCGGAGCCTTCGAAAGGGTGCCGTCCCTCAGGGTGCACAAGAGCACCCAACAAATGCAAAGAGCACGAGGGCACCCTCCCCGAACCGACCTCGATCTCATGCCTCGATCCGCCTGTGGAGGCCTCCAAGATGGGGCCCGAGTGGATGGGGTCAGAGGATCGCGCCGCATCGCCGATGCATCCGCGCCATCGGGCGTAGAGAACGTCGCGCTCCACATCGAGCCGCATTGCCGATGAATCGACGATGCGGCGCGACCCTTTGATCGACCCAGAAGGGGGTCCAGCAGAACGGGGGCGGTGCAAGAGATTTGGGGCAATTGTGTTGCAAGTGTGTTGCGCCGGAGAATCGTATTGCATTGTGTTGCGACGAATGTGTGGCACGCGACAAGCAAGCAATTCATTTGCGCCCCGGATTTCTATAGCGCGCCCCAAACGTGCTGCAGCCCCCACAAATATATTGCACCAAATAGGTTGCACCACCCCCTTGTCGCTGGACCCCCTTTTGGGTCAGCCCGAGACCCTCCAACCCCATCTACTGGGACCCCACCGGGGAGGCCCAGAGGTACGACGACCGACGGCCTGTCCTGCTCGTTTGGAGCAGGGCCTGCTGTCAGTGTCGCCGCGGGCTCTGTCCACATTGGAAGCAGGAGGCCGCCCTGCCCCACGGCGACCGCTGCCGCTTTTGGAGAGCACGTGCTGCTGGGCATCGTACCCACATTTTCTCCCTGCCCTCTCGCGGCTGCGGCTGCGCCGCGGCCCGGCTCCGTGGGTGCTGGTGCGTGCACCCGGTGTCCGGGGACGAGGCCGAAAACGGCTTGAGCCAAAATGGCTGTGCGGACGCCTTCTGATGCCTTCCGGCCGCGGCAGCGAGATCCCCTCCACCAAAGGAGGCCCAAGAGAAGCCAGAACCAAGATGCATAAAACTCTCAAACAGTGGTAACTCGAACTAACCTTCCGAGCCCTCCGCCCCAAGAGGACCCCCCACACCGCCAGCGACGCTAAAGAAACTTCTAGAGGCCGGGAGACGCGCCCAGACTCCAGCAAGAGGCCCTCAAAGGCCTCATTCATCGACTCCGTCCTC